CTCCACTGGGAGGCTTCTGTAGCTGAGGAGACCGAAGCTGACAGAAGCTTTGGGCACTCGGCACGGGGCCCCACAGAGACGCCCGCATCCCTGGGGAGGAGGGCAGCTGGAGGCCTTCCGGACAAGCTTGTCCAAACACTCCCCAGGGGGACAGAGAGCTAAAGAGGAGCCCTTTCCCCCCGGGGACAGGTCTGCACCTGGAGGGCCGTGGGATCCTGGCACCGTGAAGCCTGCACGCGGCTGGACGCCCACCCACAGGGTTGGCACCGCGAACCTGGTTCCGGTGTCATGGGCAAAAGGGAAGGTCACAGAGGGACTCCTGGAGGCACCAGGGTCCCGTGTCCTGGGCTGCCCATCTATGAGAGCCCTGAGTGGAAGTTCTGGAGCAGTAGCCCTGCCTGGCAGCCTCTGCGGCAAAGGGTCCAGAGGCCCGCTTTGCCGAGCAAAGGAGGGTCCAGGGTTCTTCCTCCGCATTTGGCCCCAACCCCAGTAGGCCCTGGATGCTGTCAGCGCCGCGAGGGTGTCACCTCCGTTGTGGCTGTAAAGACAGCAGTGTCCGCGAGGTGGCAGCACCAAAGTGATGCCCAAGGCAGCCAAGACTGGGGTTCGCCGGGCACGTGTCCCGGGTCCGCCAGCCCGATATCGCGGGTGCCCCAGGTCTGATAGCCCAGTGGCCGACGAGGGTCATCAGAGATGTGGGACACCTGTGAGCCACTGCGGCTCAGCTCCGGTAGTACCTGCAGCCCCTCGGTAACAGGTCCACCTCCAAGGCGGTCAACACCATGGTGTAGATCCTACATCATCGGTCCCAGTTCAGTGACAGAGAACAGGCAACCAGGTCCCAGGGCCGCCCATCCAGACAGTGGCCACCCCACCGAGGACGGATCCCACTCCCCAAACTCAGGGCCTTTGATTTCGCCAGTGTCTGCTTCCCAGGGAAAGTCTCAGAGCTCAGCAGACCCCCCGGGGCTGGGCATTAGCATCTCCATTCACAGGTGTTTGAGATGCTAAAGACCAGGGCCACTCCTCCGCCCCCCCGCTCTGCTGCGAGAGGTCCCGCTGCGTGCCGTGCCGGCTGAGCCGCCAGCTTGGGCGCAGCCAGCACTCCAGAGTCCTGGGGGATCCCAAGTCAGGGGTCGAGACAGGGCCAGTGTGTGGTGGCTGGGGTCCAGTTACCCGCCCTGTGCTCTTGGGTCAGAGCGCACGGAGGTGCGTCTCCCAAGTGGAGCGACTCTGCCCGCCCTGGAGCCCATGCTCTCTTGAGATTGGGATCCCAACAGTGCCCGAGGATCGTGACCTGGTGTCACCAAGGCCAGGGAGATGGGTGATAGTTTGAGCTCAAGAGGTAACCTAGCACCCCAGACCTGCGGCAGCCCCGGGTCTGGGGGCTACTTGGAGGAGCACAGGGACACTCTGGGGTCGGTCCCCTTGGTATGGGGCGGATTCCCAGCGCCCTGTGTGCTGCCCGGTTGGTTTGGTTTTGGAGACTGTGGCGGCCGCGAGGTGGCGGTGCCGGCTCACAGATCACGGTCCGCGGCTGCCGAGGGTTCGCCCGCGGCTTTGCCCGGGTCTTCCCGCCCAGTGTCGGGGGTTCGCCCGCGAAATGTCCCGGGTCTTCCCGCCCAGTGTCGGGGGGTTTGCCCGCGAAACATCCCGGGTCTTCCCTCCCAGTGTCAGGGGTTCGCCCGTGAAACGTCCCGGGTCTTCCTGCCCAGTGTCTCACGTTTGTCCATCCAATCTCCCAGGTCTTCCTGCCTGATGTCTCGGGTTCGCCCGCACAGCATTCTGGTTCCTTCCCGGGTCTGATACCGTGGAATCTACGAGGATCTCAAGGAGATGAGACCCTCATTTGAGTCATCCCAGGCTGCACAATGAAGTTGAGGGCAGGCAAGAAAGAACACTTGGAGCAGTGAAGGGCCCCATGCTTGGGGGACATGGGGCTCAGTCTCAGAGGTCGGCCCTTTCCACAGGGCCCCCTGTGGCACGGGGTCCTGGGCCCGACACTTCCCAGTGCAGGAGCTTTTCAGGGCCCTCCCCTTGTTTTGGGTACAGGCATCCTAGCTAATCCCAGCCCTGAACGGTGTGGAATCGGTTGTCGGTGTGGAGACAGCCACGGCCGCGTGGTGGCAGCCCTGACTCACACATCACTGCCCGCGCAGCCAAGACCGGGGTCCGCCTACCTCACGTCCCAGGTGCATTGAGGCCTAACACTGCAGTGGCCGACGAGGGTCATCAGAGATGTGGGACACCTGTGAGCCACTGCGGCTCAGCTCCGGTAGTACCTGCAGCCCCTCGGTAACAGGTCCACCTCCAAGGCGGTCAACACCATGGTGTAGATCCTACATCATCGGTCCCAGTTCAGTGACAGGGAACAGGCAACCAGGTCCCAGGGCCGCCCATCCAGACAGTGGCCACCCCACCGAGGACGGATCCCACTCCCCAAACTCAGGGCCTTTGATTTCGCCAGTGTCTGCTCCCCAGGGAAAGTCTCAGAGCTCAGCAGAGCCCCCGGGGCTGGGCATTAGCATCTCCATTCACAGGTGTTTGAGATGCTAAAGACCAGGGCCACTCCTCCGCCCCCCCCCCCCCCCCCGCTCTGCTGCGAGAGGTCCTGCTGCGTGCCGTGCCGGCTGAGCCGCCAGCTTGGGCGCAGCCAGCACTCCAGAGTCCTGGGGGATCCCAAGTCAGGGGGTCGAGACAGGGCCAGTGTGTGGTGGCTGGGGTCCAGTTACCCGCCCTGTGCTCTTGGGTCAGAGCGCACGGAGGTGCGTCTCCCAAGTGGAGCGACTCTGCCCGCCCTGGAGCCCACGCTCTCTTGAGATTGGGATCCCAACAGTGCCCGAGGATCGTGACCTGGTGTCACCAAGGCCAGGGAGATGGGTGATAGTTTGAGCTCAAGAGGTAACCTAGCACCCCAGACCTGCGGCAGCCCCGGGTCTGGGGGCTACTTGGAGGAGCACAGGGACACTCTGGGGTCGGTCCCCTCGGTATGGGGCGGATTCCCAGCGCCCTGCGCTCTGCCTGTGTGCTGCCCGGTTGGTTTGGTTTTGGAGACTGTGGCGGCCGCGAGGTGGCGGTGCCGGCTCACAGATCACGGTCCGCGGCTGCCGAGGGTTCGCCCGCGGCTTTGCCCGGGTCTTCCCGCCCAGTGTTGGGGGTTCGCCCGCGAAATGTCCCGGGTCTTCCCGCCCAGTGTTTTGCGTTCGCCCGCGAAATATCCCGGGTTCGACCACAGAACGGCCCGGGTCTTCCCGCCCAGTGTCCCGGGTTCGCCGCACATTGTCCCGGGTCTTCCCGCCCAGTGTCTCCAGTTCGTCTGCTCGGCACCCCTGGTCTTCCTGCCCTGTGTCCCAGGTTCGCCCGCTCCACGTCCCGGGTCCACTCATGTCTGATACCACGGTAGTTCCTTAGTGTCATCAGAAAGATGGGTGCTTGCCTGAGCCACCCCAGGGGATTCCTAGTCACAGCAGGCTGTGTGGTTAAAGTTGGGGAGGCAAGGGAGTAACGAGACAGCCTGTGCCTGGACGATGTGGAGCTCAGTCTCGGAGGGAGCCCCTCCCACAGAGTCCTGGGGGCTGCCCTGTCAAACACCAGAGGATTTCAGTGTCTCCCCCATCGCTTTGGGCGCCCTGCACCCGAGCGAATCGCAGTTCTGAGTGGTGCTGAGTCGTTGTGGGTGTGGAGACTGTGACAGCCACGAGGTGGCGGCCCCGACTGAGGCGCTTCTGGCTGCGTGTGGGGCTCAGCTTTCTCCTGATCTGGGGGTACCCCACGCCCATGCCTGGAGTTCCCCTACTAAGTTGTGAGTTTGTCCATGACAAATGATGGCTGTCAGGTTTGGTTGGTGGGACACCCCACACTTCCCGGTGGAGTTCACAGAGCAGAGGGTCTGCCCGAGCCCCCTCCAAGTTGCCACCCTCAGTCCCACGGAGTCTTGGTTCCTTGCCTAGGCACGACTGTCCCCATGGTTCCAACACCCTAGACCAGGCGGGCAAACCACATACAGCTCAGGATTCCAAGGCCTCCTTGCCACACCGGCAGTCACTCAGGGACTGGATAGCATTGGTGCCTTTGTTCCGTTCCCGCACGGGCAGAGCCTCAAGCCGGTGGACACTCGGCGGGCGCTGGGGATGAAGCTGTGAGGCTGCAGACGTGGTGAGGACGCGCTTGCGAGCCGTGGTGCACGGCGGGCGCGCTGCACCCACGGGAGGGGAACGTGGCAGTGTGGGGGACTTGGGGCAACCCAACCACAGTGGGAGACTGCCCCGCGGACACCGCTGTGGCCGCAATGGTCGCCGTCAAAGAGGCAATTGAGCCGGGGACTGGCCATCCACTGTAGCCTGCCTAGGACCTCCCCCCCTCATGCTTCCCTGGGCCGAAGCAGAGCCCAGAACCCCACCCACACTCCCCATGCGACTGTTCCCCGTGGACCCCAGGATGGAGGGCGAAGGTGCGGTCTCAACCACGGAGGCGGCAGAAGTGGCTTCAAGTGCTGCCCGAACCCCCGGGTTTGGCTGGAGCCCCCCACCCCCACACTGTCCACCAGCAGGGTGGCCACCCAGTGCTGGGAGGGCGAGGAGCGGCATACGTGGTCTGCCCTGAGGGGACCCGCCTTGTTTCAACTGGGGGGAGGGGGCGTTTGGGGACAATGCCCAGTCCTGTTTGCCGCCTGCGAAGGAAGGGTGCGGGGAGGGTGTCTTTGGAGAATTTCGGATCGGGTGAGGTACGTGCGCTGGGCCATCCCAGTTGGAGGTGGGACTGGCGGTGGCCCCAAACACGGTCCCTGCTCTGATTGGCTGGCGGGGTAGGGGCGGGAAATCTGGGCGGGGCCGCTCCAGTTAGAAAAAGCCCGGGCTAGGGCCACGGAACAGGGCGAGGGAGGGGGTGGGTCTGGGATGGGGAAGCCCGGGGGAAACTGGGGAAGCGGGGGTGCGGAGGGGTAACCAGGGAAGCTGGGGCACGGGGGAAACCAGGGGAAGATGGGGAACTGGGGTTCGGGGAAGTTTGCGTGGGCCAAGGATCACCTTGGAAATCTGGAGTCTGGCAGGAGAGGCCGCGGGCTGAGGGGCTGGCTGGGGCCTGGGAGCACAGTGGGAGGGTGGCGTGGGCTCCTGGAGGCAGGGCAGCATCGGTGTGGGGTGTGACGGGCCCCAGCTAGAGGTAGAGGGGAAAGAGGGGGGAGCCAGACATTCATCCCGGTCAACTTTGGTTTCAGGACGTGGCGGCTGGCGGACAAGGGGGAACTGGAGAGGGGTTCACACTGGGCCTGGGCCATGGAGTAGCTGGCAGCCACAGGCAGAGGAGAGGAGCGACCTGCCGGGCCAGGTGAGTCCCCTTCCCCTCACCGCCTCGCTTCCAGGACCTTCTGCCAGAAGGAGGTTCCCGGGAGTGAGGACAGCGAGGAGAAGTGGCTGACCCCCGGCAGGGCCGCAGGATGAAGGCAGAGCGTAAGCACAGGTGACACCGTCTCGGGGGGAGCTGAGACTGGGGAGGCTGGGGGGGGCTACGGGTCCACCCCAGGTAGAAAGCGCTTTGAGAGGGCAAGGCAGGACATGAGGCAGGGCTGCCAGTGAGGGAGGGGACGGGGGCCCGCAAACCTCCATCACTTGCGGGAACACTCCAGGCCCGGTCGGACAGGACAAGATGAGCGGGGGACTCAAATCACAGCAGGGTCCCCAGCCGCCACCACACCCACCGCAATTCACTCAGGAGAAGGTTCAGAAGGAGCTCTGGCCAGGCCGCCCAGGCCGGCGCCAGAGCCTCGAGGGCAGGAGAACGAGACTGAGGGCACAGTGCGCGGGCAAGCCCGCGGCGGGACGTCACCCGGAGGGGACGGCAGTCCCAGGCGCAGGCTCCAGAGATTTCTGCAGCGAGGAGGCTGCGGGGGCCCAACCTGTGGACGTGCCGTTCCCACGTGGCACTGTGGCCCAGCGGCTGGCGTGGGGACTGGTCACAGGTCTCTGTGTCCCTCCCCCGCACGCCTCTGGGACTGGCAAGGTAGACAGGTCAACACCAGGGGAGTCAAGGACACAGGCGAGACCAGACCAGGCGAGGCAGGCAGGGCAGCGTGAGTGAGGGGGGGAGGGAAGTCGGGGCACAGGCAGGGTGCGCGTGGCAGCCTGGCGGCAATCCGGGAGGGGCGCTGGCCTCCAGAGCCTGTGGCCAAGGCGTGGCCGCGGGCGGTGACGGAGCGGGGATCGGTGTCGCCGTACTCGGATTGGAGACCAGGTGAGTGTCCAGCCCGCTGGCCAGTCCGACCCCCCACCTGTGGGTTCTGCCCGCCAACCGTGACCCTCGCCACTGTCCCCAGCCAGGTCTCTAGTGGTGGTGACGTGCGTGCCAGCCACCGAAGGCCGGGCGCCAGGAGGTGCTCAGAGTGACATGACATGGTCCGGTGTGACGGTGAGGACAGTGAAGCCGTCCGGCCTTCCTGGTAAGTGCAGGGACAGGGCGTGGTCCCCAGACCGACGGCCCCGTGGTGACAGACTCCTCACTCCTGACCTGTCTTTTCTCCCGCAGGACATCTCGGCTGGAGCCGCGGGGAGCAGAGCGCCCAGCAGGTCTCTGTCTCTGTACTTTCTGGAAGGAGTCGACACAATCTCTGCTCTCTGGACCTCTAGAATCCTCAAGATGACAAGGTGGTAGCCCCTCCCAAGGGGCATAGGGTGGGGGGCACAGAGCGCGGGCCAGGGTCGCGCTCACTCCGTCCCCTCCCGCCCACAGAAATGGTGCTACCCAGCTCACGCCTGGGCCTTGGACCCCGGACTTCTTCAAGTCCTTCTAGCTCTGACTCAAGAAAATGCTGCACATGGAACCACCACACCCCCCGACTCAGGAATCGGCTCCAGAAGGTGGGCACAGGAGCCCCCCTTCGGGAAGCTGCCCCCCTCCCCGCCTGCCCTGGCCCCGCCCACACGTCCCACTCTCTCTGCAGGTTAAGTCAAGGGACCGAGACCCGCCCAGCACCACCTGAAGGGAGCGGCCCCGCGGCCGCAACACCACCTCCACAGCTGCCCCTGCCCACGCTGGAGACCACCGCCAGCCCGCCCCCATCACCACCGCACTCCCCCCCCCCACCTCCTCTTCAGACTTTTCTCTCGTCTCTTCATTTCTTCCTTTCTCTTCTCTGTCCCTTGCTCAGTGGGCTCAGGCCCCCGGGACTCTGCTCCCCCCACCCCCGATTCAATTTGCACTATTAAGTCGTTTGCACTGGTTGGGGTCCCGGACACGGCCTCGAGTTCCCTGAGCGTGTGTGTGAGCCAACTGCCGAGTGTGCCCGGCCCCTCTGGCCGGTGCCGCCCCTGCGACCCCCCACCATCCACCCTCTGGGGGTGACCGGGGGCGGTAGAGTGTGTGGGGCCCTGCCTGCCCCCCGCCTGGTCTGGGAGCTCTGAACACCAAGAGCGACGTGAAGCATTCCACGGTCCATCTCGCGTGTGTCCCTCCTCACCAGGGCTTCACCAGAAGCTCTGGACTCATCAATAAATCCGTTACAGCACTCTGGGTCTCCGCTCGTTCTTGGGGGGCTCCTCGGACACGGGAATGGGGTGGAGGACATGAAACACACAAGGGACACGGGAGGGGATGTGGGGGATGAAAACCAGTCGTCATTGGGTGGGGCGGGCAGCGCCAGGTCCCATGACTGTTGGGTGAGGCTGTAGGACCAGGGTCTCTGCTGGGAGGGGTGAGGGTGGGAGAGCACTCGGCTGTGAAAGGGTCCCCTCAGTCATGCCACACAGACCACCTCCTGGCTGGCACCCCAGGCCCTCCTACTCCTCGCCACACGTCCCAAGGGCCTGCTCTGGGGGAGCGGGCTTGGCGGAGGCTTGGGGGGGCAGTGCACCTCATCACCAGCCCTGCTGGTGCTCAGGGTCCTATGAGCCCCAAGCCCAAGGGGACACAGGGATGTCTCTTCCCCCTGCCCCACCGCCTTCCCACTGTGGTGGGTGCTGGGGGTCCGCTCAGCTCCAGGGAGGGGGGAGGGCTCAATAATAGCCAGGTGACAGCCAAACAGGGGGGGCAGGGAGGCTGACGGAGAGGGTGGTGATGAGTGAAAAGCGGAGGGAGAGGGGAGGGCGGGAGACGTGGGGACTGAGTGGAGGAGGGGAGGGGTACCAGAAGGGCTGTGGGTCCTGCCACGGTGGCCCTAAGACTTTGGGGTGTAAGTGCAGCCCCCACCTTGGTTTGCAGTCGGGAGGCTGGGCTGGGGCTCTGCCTCTGCGCCCCAGGCCCCCCGCCCTGGGCCCCTGCCGGAGCCGAGGCTGGAACTCCAGGAAGCAGCTGTTGGAGGCGAGCCTGGGGTCCCAGCCCCTCCTCCCCGCGCTCAGAGTCAGGAACCGCCTCAGCCCCAGAGAAAGACCAGACGGGGGGAGCTGAGGGGCACACCCCAGCCCTCCTCCCACAGCCCCCCGACCCTGTGTCCACCCAGGCTCCCCTCTGGGCTCCCTACCCCCCTGGCCATGTGGGCTACACGGGGACGGTCCCAGGCCAGCTGGGTGGTGGTCACCACAGTAAGCATTTGGGCATGGGCGATTCTGGAAGGCCTGGAGCTGCTGTCCTCGGGGTCTCTGGGTGCCCTGCAGGCGGTCACATCCTCTCCAGGCCACCGGCCAGGCCCACTCACCCAAGTGGGCTTCACAGGGGGTGAAGGGACCCATCCACGAGATATAAAGAGTTAGGGTTGTGAATGGCCTTTATTGATAAGCCCCGTCGCTTGCTGTTTGAGCTTCACAAAGTGAGGCTGTGAGGAGGAAAGCTGGGCAGCCAGGCAGTGGGTCCCACCAAGGTGGGCTGGGCGCCTCCTCCAGGGAACACAGGGAGTCGGGCCCCCTGAAGAGGGTGGGCAGCCCTCGGGGGTCCTGGAGTCAGCCGGGCCGGCTCCTTGGTGTGCTGTGGCCTCTTCTGGTCGCAGGGGACGCACGGTGCGCCCCGCATGCACCCCAGGGCTCCCACCTGGGCCCCGAGGCCCTGAGCGGGGAAAGCACACATCTGGGCTGGAATGCAGCGGGTGGGGCAGCGTCCCACACCCACCAGGGGGAATGCTGAGGCCCCAGCGCCCCCTCCCACCTGCCCTCGTCCAGTTCACAAGCCAGGGTCCACACTGGGTGGGGCGCTGTTTTTTTCCAGCATTCAGGGCTGATTCCAGGCTGTTCCTCCTGGAGCCAGAAGGGAAGGGGCCTGAGCGCCCAGAGGGGCCCCTGCAGAGCTGTGGGGCCACCCGCGGGGCTGGAGGCGGGTGGGGGCAAGAAGCCACAGGCCAAGGCCTGGCTCTGCAAACAGGCCGTGAGCCCCGCGCCTCGCCCAGGGCTGGGCAAATAGGCCCGCCCGCCCCTCGGAGCCCTCGGAGGAGCTGGGGCCTGCGGGTGGAATGTTTACCTTGGGCCCAGCCCGATTTCCTGCTTTTTAGAAAAGGGGCTTAGAGAGGGTTGTCAGACTGGCTCCTGGCGCCCCCACCACCCAAAGGCACTTTCAAAACGCCCCGAGCTGAGTTAAGTGTCGAGGAGCAAACAGGGGCTTGAATTTCACTTCCAAACCCCAGCCGGGGGCGGGGGGTGGAGGGGTGGGGGCAGGGGGCCCGGCCACCGGCGGCGGGCGGGAAGTCTGGGGAAAGGCATTTCTGAGCTGGGGGGAGACCAGGGAGTGGGCAGGGACGGCCACCCTCTCCCCCTTCAGGCTCCCAGCACAGAAGGGCCTGGTTGTCACACCTGGATTCTCCCCCGCCCCCGCCGTGCCCCTGTGTGGGGGCGCTCAGCTGGCCGGCCACCCGTCTGTGTCCAAGCGTGTCCCCTGTCTGTGTGTACTCACGCCTGTGTGTTCACACACATGTATCAACGTGTGTGCGTCCCTGTGCACCCCCATGTGTCCACACGTGCCCTTGTGTTCACACATGTCTGTGTGTTCGTGCGTGCCCACACGTGTCCACGCATGCCTGTGTGTTCACACGTGTGTCTGGGAGCACCTCTCGGCAGGGCCCAGGGGCCGGGTGCCCACAGCCGAGGGGCCGTGGCTGTCGGGGAGGGTCTCTCTCGGGGTCCCTCGCCGGCACACCGCAGGCACTGCTGTGGGTCCCGTTCTGCTCGGGAACACCCTGTGGGGCCTGCTGACTTGTGTGTGGCCCAGCCCTGTGTGGGACCAGTGTCCCTGGAAGGTGGACATGGGACTCTGCCTGTGTGTGTCTCCTGCCTCTGTGTGGGTTCGCCTCTCGGTCTGGATTTAATGACCCAGGAGCCCCCTCTCAATAAGATGGCGGACAGCTGGGGGGCGGGCGGAGTCAGGACCCTGCTGCTCCACTGAGTGGGGTCGGAAACAGGCCCCGGATACAAAGGAAATGAACCCCTGAGCCAGGCCGAGGGGGAGGCTCAGGCCCGAAGGTCTCGGAGGCCGCCTGAAGGCCCTCGCCCCAGAGCTGGAGCCGGGAGCCACTGCGCCGGTTTGAGACCCGGCCTGGGCTCAGGCCGGTCCTCCTCTGCGGGCACATGTGTGGGCTGTGCCCGACGAGCCCCAGGGAGCCAAGGGCCCAGCAGAGGCCGTGGGGCCCTGTGGGGGTCCAGAGCTTCTAGAAGGAGCAGGCCTGGCTCTGGCGCCCTGAGGCCCTGCCGACCACACCGGGCCGCCCCCAGCCCTTCTCCTCGCTGCCCCTCACCTCCCTCCCTCTCTGGACCTCTCCCCAGCCCGCACCTGGTGACATGGTTGGCCCTTTCCCAGAGGTGAGGGAACCAGCGGGGGCCCCTTCCTGGAAGCCCACCTGCAGGCCGTCCTGCTGGGAAGGGGCCTCCCCGGCCCCCACCCCCGCCCGCCCCAGCGCCATTTCCTGGAAGCGGTCACTGGATATTCTTTCTGCTCCATGTCAGCACTGAGCTCGCATGAAGCAGACACTGAGCCCCTTGTCCTCTGGGAGCCCCGTCACCGCACACCTGGCCGGACACAGGCGGGGAGCCCGGGCCCTCGGGGCCTGGGGCTGGACCTGCAAACAAACAGGGGCGCCAAGTGCAGGGGCCCCCGGTTCCCACCTCTGCCCAAAGCCCCCCGCGCCACGGGCCCCCGGCAGGGCAGGGGGGCAGCTGTGCACACTGGACTGAAAAGGGGGCAGGGCGGCGAGGATGCAGGGCCTGCTTCCCGCTTCCCAGAAACACAGGGCCCGGGGCTTCGGCTCGGTGGGAGCCCAGGGGGCTGGAGCCAGACGGGAGGGTGTGGTAGATTAGGACGGGGCCTCTGGACACCCCGCTCCCCGTGCACGCAGGGCTGGGGTGGGAGGAGAGGCCCCCAGGGCTTCGGAGGGTGGGGGCGACAAGCTGCGGCGGCTCGGAGCCTGTGGGTCTGGTATGCAGCCCGGAGGGGGAGGAGGGAGGCAGGATGGCGGGAAGACCATTCCCTGGGTTGGGGCCTGAACAAGGAGCAGGAGGAGGGAGAGGGGGTGGGGTGGCTGGGACGGCGGCCCAGAGGCCCAGCTCCAGACCCAACTCAGGGGCTCAGAGTTGCCTGGGCGGGGCTGCAGGGCTGGGGGCACAGAAGGGGGAGCAGGACCGGGAGGGGGCCCACAGATGCTCCCAAGAGAGGGCCCGGGTGCAGCCTGGGGGGCGGTGATTGCAGGGGGTGCCAGAGAAGACAGAGGTCTGGTCCCCAGTCTTAGGGGTGCAGGGGACAGGGTTTGGGGGGCCACTGGTTGGGGGAGAGTACAGGTCTAGACGCCCCCTCCCCCTCTTCCTCCTCTCCTGGGGAGACGTGCAGGGCTTCGGGCTCGGGGGGGAGTGGGGTCCCTTAGATTTGTTTATTCAGGCAGCTTTCGGGGCACGCCCTGTGTGTGCCGGGGGCCCCCAGAGCCAGAGAGGCACACAGGGCCCCAGCAGCACGCCGCGGGGTGGTGGTGCCACCTCTGTGTCAATACCGGGGGGGTCCAGGGTTCACGGAGCAGGACAGGCCTCCCGGGCTTCCACCCCACAGCCCGCACGCGGGCCTGCCGTCCTGGGGGACAGTGTCATGGTGCTGCCTCTGCCACCGTCCCTCCAACCCCAGCGCTCCACCAGAGAGTGAGGGTCCACGCACGGGCTCGGCCTCCACCCCTCCTCCCTCTGGAGGGGCTGGGGTGCAGGCCTATAGCTTGGGGGGCACAGAGTGGCCTCCGGGAGAGGCCTCAGGCTGAACACTGTAGAGGGGGCTCCCGTGGGCCCCTCCAAACAAGGGCCAGCCCTCCGCAGAGCCCTGAAAAGCCAGAGGGGACCCCCTTTCCTGTCCCCGCACTCTGGCTGGCCACTGGGACTTCAGGCCATGGGTCAGAGGGGGACCCCAGGAGCAGGGACTGTCCTCCGGGGGTCTCATCCCCAGCACCCTGCTGGGCAGGCTGCAACAGGAGGCCAGATGGAGGCCTGAGGGCCTCGCTTCCCAGCACCGGTGGGGTCCGGGAGGGGCCCTCGGCAGAGGGCACTGTGTCTGCCAGGCTGTAGAGCCCCTGAGGGGCCGGGCATGGTGTCCGGCTCGGGGGGCATATGCTCCCCGCTGGCA